ATTTGATTTTGACTTCATTGCTATTCGAATATTAGAAGAATCTTATTATTCAGTCAACTTTGAACGTCCTATAGCAATTGAATTACAACCTTTAGTACCCCTTTCATTAGAACTCTCAAGAAAAATATAATGAACGCAGACCAATTTAATGTCTTCATTACCTGGCTCACAGATTCTATCAATCAACTTACTCAGAAAGTCTAAAACAGACCTCTACATCAACCACTGAAAAGAGAAACTAATTTAGTTCCAGTAAAACATTTCTCAGGAAAAAGTGAAGAGGATCCATCTAATTGGATTGCCCATTTTGAGAAAGCTGCGAAAGCTTATAACTGGAATAATGAATGAATAGTTAAAATTGCTGGAGGATTTCTCGATCATGTAGCCGCTGATTAGTATGAGAATACTATATTTGCTCAAGGTTGGAAAGTTGCAGATGATGAGAATGGTACTGAAACCTTTGTGTTTAAATTCGTAAACCATTTCTTTACGACTGAATAACAAAATAAATAACATTATGAACTCAATGATATTCTCTAAGAAAGGGATGAAAAAGTAGAATTGTACTCTAACTGATTCAAGAGATTAAGAAAAAAGATAGACCCTGATAATGATTTACCAGAACCGTATGTTATTAGATTATTTCTAAAGGGATTGAAAAAGGATTTAGTACAATATGTTGTTACTAGTAAACCTGCGGATATTAATGAAGCAATTCAAGAGGCTATCGACTATGAAGCTGGAGTTTATTTTGAATGACAAGCCAAAAGACAAGAACGTCAAGTAGATTGAAAGGCTAGAGCTACTAGTAATGATGCTCTTGAAGCCTTAACTAAACAAATGGAAAAGTTAACTCTTAACTATGCTAATATAGTCTTAGCCTTAAATGTTCAAACCCAAATGAGACCTAAAGTTACAGGACAAAAACCAGATAAATCTCAAATCACTTGTTTTAATTGTCAAAAGAAAGGTCACTACTTTAGGGAATGTGATTTGCCTCCTAAAAAGAGAAAGAATGCAAATATGGTTGAAGTTTATTCTGACTTTAATTTAGAAGATGAAGAAAAAAACTATAAAGAAGTTTATGCTACTCCAAGAATAAGAGTCACTCCGTATACTACTAACAGGAAGGATGCCAAAGAAAGAAGTAAAAGGATGTTTGAATCTCAACAAGAAATGAGATTGAAAAATAGAAATATAAGTAAACCAATTCCTCTTACTACGCCAATGAATATTGAAGAAGGAACTTCAATTCCAAAGGATAAGAAACCTTGAAGAAAAATACCACGCATCCCTTCTGTTATTGACTAATTAGCTTCTTAAATGTTGCTGAAGATATTTTAAACTTACCCTCGTTTGCGAAACTTGGACAATGGTTAAAATATCCAGATCAAAGGAGAAACTTAGCTAATACTTTAAAAAGAGCTATTATTAAAGAAACCAATAATGTTGACCTTAATGACAAATATATGAGTGACAATGATGATACTCCTACAACTGCGGTCAAATATGCTATTCAAATTCATCATAGCAATGTGCAAGCTATTCTTAACTCTGGTGTAACTATCAGTATTATTATGAGTAGTCTAGTCAAACGACTTAAATTGAAGATTGATGAACTATCAAAAATAATCATAAATACTGCTAACGGAAAAAGAGCTAGAGCTTTAAGAAAGATCAATACCGTCAAAATAACCATTAAATCTATTCATATACTGATAACTCTACAGGTTATTGAGTCTCCTGATGAAAACTTGCTATTAGGAACTGATTGGATTAAGAGAACTAAAGCCATTCTTGACTTTGTTGAAAGAAAAGTGAAGTTCAGATATCTTACAAAATCTGCCTCTGTTCTAATTACTTTTTATGACAGTTCTTCTGTTGAATTAGACGAAGAATCAGATATCTATAGATAAACTGATTGATATAATTGAAGATCTAACTTATAATGACCAATATGAGGATAAAGATCTTGACGAACGAGATATCTTTTATTTTAATAGTGAAAAAGATTTATCTGATGAAGAAAGTTTATTTGATTTTGACGAAAATGAGCTATTTGCTAATCCTTGAAATAACAATCCAGCTGTATTCTTAACTCAAGCTGAACAGCCAAAACCTCAAAATAATGAATGGAATATCCAAGAAGACTTATATGTTGGATCCTTAGATGTTAATCAACAAGAAATTTTTGAGCAATTCGTTGAAGAAAATAAAGATATCTGTGCATTTAGTCAAAAAAAATTGGTCATACAACTTTATTCCAACATCAAATTCCAACAGGAGACTATGAACCAATCGCTAACCCTGCATATCATCTAAAGGATTCATTTAAATTAAAATTTCTTAAGAAGAAATTAAACGAATAGAAGAAAATGGTATTATTCAAAAGTCAAAAAGCCCTTGGGCTTTCCCAGTTGTTATTATATCCAAGTAAACTGGAGATACACATATTTGTATTGATTATAGAAAACTTAATACTATAACTAAAGGAGATGCTTATCTCCTTCTACTTATTGATGACTTGCTTGAGAAATTTAGAAATGCAAGTTGATTTTCTACACTTGATCTTGCTAGTGGATATTTGCAAGTGAAATAGAAGAGAGTGATTGTGAGAAAACTGCTTTTGTCTGCCCATATGGTCTGTATGAATTCAAAAGAATGCCTTTTGGATTAAAAAATGCTCCTGAAACTTTCTAACGTTTAATGAACTTTGTTTTACAAGAATACCTCTACAAGTTTGTAGCAGTATATTTAGATGATATTATCATCTACTTAAAAACATATGAAGAATATCTACAACACTTGCAACTGGTATTCGACGCAATTAAAAAGGCAAATTTAATGATTAAATTAAAAAAGTGTCAATTTTGTCTTCCAAATATTCTGTTCCTTGGACACATAGTAGGAAGAAGTGGTTTGCAACCAGATCCTGAAAAAATTCGAAAAATCAAAGAACTTCCAGTACCTAAAGGATTAACTGAATTAAGAGCAGTTCTTGGATTGTTCTCATATTATCGAAAGTTTGTAAAAGGATTCTCTCAAATTGCTAAACCAATGATAACCTTACTAAAGAAGGATGCTCCTTATGTTTGGACAAGTAACCAACAAAATTCTTTTGATAAATTAAAAAAGAAACTGATTACATTACCAATCTTTCAATACCCTGATTTCTCTAAGGAATTTATACTTTATACTGATGTCTCAGGAGTAGGACTTGAAGCAGTATTATCTCAACTCGATGAAAATAAAAATGAACATGTTATTGCATATGTAAGCAAAAGCATGAACAAAGCTGAGCAAAACTACCTAATTACAGATCAAGAATGTTTAGCAGTAGTTTGGGCTATTAGAAATTTTCATTACTATCTTAGCTCTAAATCCTTCACCATTGTAACTGATCACTCTGCCCTCAAATGATTGAAAACTTCAAAAATACCAAAAAGTTGATGTGTACAATAGATAATGGAATTACAATAATATAACTTTAATATTCAATATAGACCTGGAAAAAATAATGCTAACGCTGATGCATTATCTCGATTAATCTCTAAAAAAGAATAAGATAATTTCTCAAAAGAAGTCTTTATACTTACAACAAATGAAAATGACGATAAAGAAATAGAATGGCATATTTCTTCTGCAAATAGTGAAACATCATCAGAACGATTACAAGAAGAAATGTATTTAGAGGAAGAATTAATGTCACAGTATTCTCATATACCTTTAATCACTGTAGAATATCAATGTCCTAAGAATGAATTGGAAGATATTTTAGAGAAAATATCAAGATTAAGCAAGTTATAGCTAATCAACCAATAAATAAAGGAGGATCACAATGTAATTATAGTTGTAATATCAAAAACTATCATATCCATACATATTGCAAAGCCTGTAAGAGAAACTTGCCATATGGAACAATTGAATATCATTGTATCATTGGATTTGACCTAGAACAAATTCAATCGGATATGAACCCTAACTATTTAACTAATGACCTTTAGTGGGATGAACCAATTTTAGTTCAACAAGCAAACCTCTATTCTTAACTCTATTATATGCTTGAAAACCCTCGACGTCTTCTTGTTTCCCACATTTAAATATTTTGTTTCATACTCATATTTATTTTATTAGTAAAAATTATTTTAGAGTGAAAGCGAAAGTGTCTACATTGTGATAGGCAGCTCAGACATCATGAAACCCAATCAATATAATAATTTATTTGTTTAT